TATTGGGCCCCAACATAATTAAATAGTAAGTTATATCAACGTGCTATTCCTCCATGTAGATATGTTTTGTTGAAAAATCCATAATTATGGTCACAGTAGACCTTTACTCATGCTTGAAACCAGCCTAAGATAAGTATTTTTAGTCACTTTTAAGGCTATATAGTAAGATGAAACCTTTAGTGTTTCAAAAATGCAAACAATGTTTATTTGTTGCTCATAAGTAATTCATGGATACAACAATATTCAACAAAACTTCTTCATTTTAAAGAGTTTTCTTAATGAGTATCATTTTACAGAAAACCACCAACAAATAAATATATGAAAACAATTGCTTTTGACATCACAATGGTTAAACACATTAAATAATTCATTAAATTGTGCTTTACATCAATGAAAATCCCTAGGTCTACAAACTATCTTTTAAATAGGAATAAAAGTAGATAATGTTACTCACAATACAATTGCTTAGTAGCAGAGTTCACACACATTATTGCACATAAACAGAAGGAAAAGTCCTAAAGAATAAAGTAATTTACAGCCTATTAAATTACCCTTTCATTTTAAATATGGCAACTGATGGGAACTCTTGATTTTTTTTAATTTTTTTTTTCACTTCCAACATTTGTTTGAAATCACAGAGCTAGTGATATGGCCAAGAAGCCAAGGACATTGTAGGCTATGGAATCCATTTTCCTCCACAAAATAACAACAAAGAAACTATTACAATAACCAAACTGGAAAAAGTGTTTCAGTGCAAACTGGGTACCTTTTCTGGGTATGTCTTTGCCACATGTAGGGAAGATAGTGCAATCTGCTCCAGCAGAATGATTTTATTGTGATTGTTCATCTCGTATAGGGTAGTCTCCACCAGCCTGGAAACAAGATATTCCTTATCCCAGACCAAAAAAGAGTGATTCCACATATATCAGGGGAACAGCAACAGAGGGAAAAGAAGTGTAAGTAAGTGAAATAACAAATTTCATAACATCAGTGTTCACAACTGATACAAGACTGCAGGTGGGAAACAAGAACCCACTAGTGCTGAAGGAAGCTGAAGTGTTAATGAGAAGGCCAACTTGAGAAACCTCCCAGTTGAGTAGTGAATGCCAACTTTGAAACATTGATAAATGCAAAGGTAATGTGACCTGCCATTTGGTTTGGTTGAATGATACACTGCAGTTAGGAAGTGCAGCTCTGAATCTGACTTCCATCACTTTTTCACTCTCTACTTCTGTTTTTAGTGAACTTCAAAAAACTACCACATATTGGGTAGAAGGCCTAGCAAGGCTATCACAGCCTCACTGTTAACACAACTGCAGTGAAGAATAAACTCCTACACCAACATGAGAAACAGTGGGTTTTTTTTCTTTCCCCATGGTGAAAAAGCTTTTTATTGTTAGCACTGATGAGTGGGATGAGACGACAAATTTTCATTCCTTAATAAAGTATGGCCCATGGGCAACAGGCTGAGTTCTTGGACTAGACATCAAATTACCAGGAACAAGTTTTAACAACACAGCATGTTTCTCTGTCTGCTCCAAGCCTACCATGAATTATAACTGCAAAGACAGCCAGCGCTGAGGATGTGATGGGAGAGATTAGCAAGTACATCTCCATTACAAAAGAATGAGATTTGTTTCAGCACCACAGTAGCAGAAGCCAAATTGCCTTGTTTAAGCAACAAAATAATGCCAGGAAGATGGACAGAAATCCTATAGTGTTGTTGCTCATGAAGGTTTCAAAAGGAACAGACTGTGCTTCGATCTCACACGAGCCAGTGTAATTACAGTGAAGTCTGTGCTGTCAGAGCAATGAAAACCTGGAATAACAGAGATATGAACCAGGGCCTTTATTTTGCTTTTGCACTACATTATTTTGGGCGCAGCGCCCAAGAGGAAAAAAGCTGCAAGCATGTGTCTTAGAAGTCAGCCTGAAAGTATTTCCAAACTGCTTTATTTTTCATGTGCCGGGATATTCTGCTAAGAAAAATAGTATTGTTGGCACTGGATCTACTGCTGAAGCTGGGGAAGGAGGTGCTGGGTCCTTCAATCCCAGGGTTTCTAGGCAGGATCTCAGGCACTGGCTGCTTCCCGCTCAACTGCTCCTGCACAAGCAGGGTATCTGCTCCACAGGCTCCAGGGGAAAAACCCAACAAACCAACTTCAGTGTTAACCAAATCCCAAGCGTTAAGGCAAATCCCTTTAACACAGATGCTACAGCACATTAGCAGCTCTTCAGGACCCTAATCTTGTCTCCTGGGAAATGACTGACAAAAAGGTTAGGCATAGCACTAAGGTATTGCCAAACTATTAAAGCTAATGTAAACCGCCCAAAGACTGTTTCGATTTTCCTCATTAGGCTTTGTTTTGTGTCAGGCAGAAGGAATAGCCTGGAGAATGGTTGGTGTGCTTAGACAGCTGAAACTGATGCAGTCACTGGTGAGGCTGCAGGGAACAATTTCTGAGCTCTCTCTTCTCTCCCCTGAAAAGATAACACTGCATTTTCTAAATGAAAAACAAGGCCCCCATTGCCGTGAGCAGCGCAGAGAAGTGACCTGTGGGGGAAAAGAGGCAGGGATGCAAGAAAGGGGACTTTGTTTGGTGCTCAGGAGGAAAAAGAAGGGAAGCTTTACAACAAAAGATGCACTGGGACTTATTCTACTTCCTTCCTAATCTCCTCCTTAATGTGAATTTGGCCCTGCATATTTCATCCCACACACCTGGCTTCTCTCTGGCACATCCCTGCCTCCTGCCAACCCTGCCTCTCCTGTGTGCCCCACACCACTGCCCACACCACCGCTGCCTCTGCCGGGGGGCCCTGCGGGGCTCCCCCAGCGCCCCCAGCCCCCAGTGCCCACAGAAACAAGGAGCACACCTCCAAATACTGGACATAGTGTACCAGGTGCCAAAGGCATCCGTCCCCTCTCTTGCTGCGGGGTCTGCAGCACAGGAGGAGATGCAGCAGTGGGACTGGGAACGGGTAGAGGCACCAGCTCCCTGTTGTCCCTGTGTCACCAGCCAGAAAGCTCCTTCCCTTTGCAGGGCCAGGGCCAGCCCAGCCTGAAGCCCCAGTGCCAGTGGGTAAGATGGCAGCCCTCTGTGAATTACCTGCACTGCACTAAAGGTGCAATAATACCGGTCAGGCTTAGCTCTTCATGGCCTCGCCATCCTGCAGCCACGCAGAGTGAGCTTCAGTCCTAGACTGTAAACATTTCAATTCAGATCTCTGAAGGTAGGTGTCCACATGGGAGCAAGGTGTCTGAGCGCCTCTTCCAGGTGATGGGGATCCAAGTGGTACTGTCCAGGGCATCTAGAAAGCTCTTCACTCTTCTCTAAGGCAGACAGGCCATGCTCAGGCAGGAGAATAATGAACTGCAATCCTGCCTTCTTCCTTCCAAACATGGAGGTGGGAGGAGATGCACGTGATCTACCTGTGGAACAGGTATTAGGGACCAAAACCTACCGCTACTAACCTCAAAAGTAGCACGTTGACAACAAGGCATAAAAAGCAGAATATTGCTAATAAACTACACTGATAATGAGGCATCATCCTGGTGGCCCTCATCACTTCTTAACAGACTTTATGACATTCCATGTTTAATGTATTATTGTACGCATTAACTCTCAACAGGATTGTTAGATCGTATTTTTGATATTGTGCATAGATAAGTAGCAATAGCACTGTTGGAAGAAAAGAAGATACAGCATGCACTAAAAAAAAAAAAAAAGACTTGGAAATGAAGGGACAAATTTTCAAATTCAGCCTCTTTTTTCAGTAACACATTATTTTTTTACTGACTGGTAAATAAATGAGAAATGTGCATCCACATCAGGTACTCCAGTATCTCTAATTAGCAAATCTGTAAGGAAAAGCCATTCATGCATGCAATAATATACTTTCAGCATCTCGATTTAGCAGCCACGTTGAGGCACTTAGAGATATTTCCTCCTAATGCTCTACACTTATGCTAGAAGAAGAAGGAAAAAAAACTGTCAAAAGATCTATGGTGCACAGGACCCTCTTTTTAGAATTTCACTATTACGAATGGAACAACATAAAATCTTGGAATAAACAGATGCATTTCAGCCACAAGAAACTAACACGTGGAGGAAGAACCCACTGAATCTTTTTCTAGACAAGGAAGAAAACCAGATATAGATCTCTCATCATGAAAACAATAAATTTACAAAGAATCTTCATACAGAGTAATAAATATTAAGACTTTCCACATATCCATTATGCATCCTATAAAAACAAAAGCTGATTCTTTTTCTAGCCACTACCATAGCTAGAGAGAAAACCAATGTAAATTCTATTCACTTGGCATCAATGTATTTAACAGACAATATCATAAACCTGCCTGCCTTCACAGACAATGTATCTCCAGGCTTTTACAGCAAAACTGGAAAATGACACTCTAATATTTAAGCTTTTCCTGCTCTCTCTTTCCTCTTCCCTGTAGTTTGCTTGGCCCCTCTTCACCTTTTGTGTGTGTGAAGGCTGATTACATTGTCTCCAGTCAGATAATCTCTGCGATGTGTGCCCAGCTGCCACGTGGACCTCATTTCTCAAGACATTCCCTTTGCCACATGTACTCAGAAAGACAGCTGCTACCTGGCTGGGTTCAGTACTCTCAACATCGGCAGAGAAATAAGCTAACCCCTCCATCACTTCACTTACATATCATCTCTGATTGCTGGCTAACAGAACAGAACAAGTGACACTCCAATCCCACATTTCCTAGGTCTTTTTTGTAATAATCTCAGCAAATTCGTCCCTTAATCAAAACACAGCATGCAGAAGTTTGAAGGGCAATGTGCTCTCCTCCATTTCATTCACTAGAAAGCTATGCACTACAGTTGCAGGATGAAATAAACCAACTCTCATGTCACAGAGGAACCAAACCAAGTATTTTTTCCCAATTTTTCAATCATGTCTGCACAAGTTTTGGTAGCTCAGATTGTATAGGGTACATCTGTTAATGCAAAGGATATAGCTTTCTCTTCAACCCATCCTCATAGATTAGGGCTTTGACAGAAGTCTTTTTGGACAGGAATCTATTCTACTGTAATTTAATAACACTAATCGATGCCTATTGAGAAAAAAAATACATTCTCCTCACTGGCAGAAACCAAGAAAAACTGAGACAAGGACGAGTAGTTTTCAGATGTGGTCTCATTTACTAAAGCAGCAGGCCTTCCTTGGCTAGTTCTCAGGTAGCCAAGTAGCAAATACTCTCTGATCCTCTCATCAGTTAGTCAAGATAGAGGAGCATCACCACCTTGCGATGTGACTATTATAATCTTCAGTAATGGCTACTTCTGCTGCCTCTTCCCTTGGCCATTCGTGAGCTCTCTGCTCCCGCAGCAGCCGACGCTCCTCTCGCCTCTTTAGCCGGTTCTTCTGATGCTCCTCTTGCTTGGAGTACTGGAAGCGCTGCAGGAACAGGTCCTTCGCATATTCGTACAGCTGCATGTCCAAGAAATTCAGCTCCTCTATCCGTTGCCGCACATCCTCACCGATGTCCACATTGGAGGCCCGTGTAACATTGAATTGGGTGAATGGGGAAATGAATTTCAGGTTGAATGTCCTCTCAAAGAGATACTGTGTTTTCCTCTGAAATTCCGTGAGCCCGAAGAAGGCCATATTTTTCAGATTGTTCTTGGCGCTTTGGAGAAGAATCATATTTCTTTCACTCTCGTTCATAAAAGTCAAGTTGTAGCATCCCACCAGGCTGAGGTCTGCCAGCATGCGCACCTGGCGGTTGTTGGCCAAGTTGTAGCTACAATCCATGAATTCCTGTAAACTGACTCCAGACCAGTCATCTCCTTCATAACAGGTAGGCAGCTCATCTGGCGTTGGGCTTCTTCCATCACACATATGAAGGGAAGTTTTCCATGTCGCACCCCTCTGGACGTGCTTCCATTCACTCAAGTACCGTGACACCGGATCCCTCAGCATCGTGATGTAATAGAAGTTCCTGAAACATATCATTAAACACAGTTTTAAGATTCAGTGGATTTCACTTTTTTATTCTCCACTAAAATTATTACCAGCCACTGCCACCACCCCTTGCACTTTTTCCAGTGTAATGAAGGCACTTTAAGTGAAACAGTAAAAAGTGTAAAGCTTCATAAATACTGTGCATAAAATACAAGGTAAATTGGGAGAAAGATAGAGTGATGAAAGGAAACAAGCAACTATAAGAGAAATGGAATTACTTTGACCTGTCAGCTATTCAGTGGTAGTTACTTTATGTAGAAGCCAATTAACTGGAGTGTACTCCCTTCTACTTTGAAATGTTAACCCTCTGAAATATCAGAAACAGTGGGAAAAGGGATTTATATAATCTTGCCCCTTCTCTTCTGGACTGAGACATGCATGTCTCACAAGGTGCACAAGATGATAATCCATACAGCGCTTGGTCAGAATATAAGAGAAGCATGAGCAATTTCATTTGGATGCTGCAAGTGCTAAAAATAACACCTTGTGGAAGACTGGCATGAGCCATCTACTTAAGAAGAACCCTGTTATTAAAAGGGTTGGAGTGGAGATAATGAGAGACCCAAAATCCATTCATATGACTTAATTTCAGACAAGTGCTGGATTGAAATTAGTTATAATCGTGTCGTACAAAAGCATTTGTTGATATAAAGATTATCATTATCCCACCTCACCTGTCAAGAATAGAAAAGAGACAGCAAGAAATAATGATTTGAAATAGAGCAAATAACTGTAGAATTCACATTGTCAGTTCATCTTTTAGATATTGGATTCAGTTTCTAAATCTATTTATGGCAATCTGAAATGGACTGCAATTGAGTATGTTTCAAACAGGCTTTCACAGATTGAGTTTTTTACTAAGAAATGTTTTATTCAATAACAACTCACCTGAATTACAGGATGATATCATAAAGACAAAGCAAAACCGAAATACTTATGATTTCTGTCAGCTAGAATAACCAGCAGAAGATTCATGACTAAAATTAACACACAGTCTGGTACAAAAATAGGCTCGTGAGTTTGCATGACTCATCTGACTGCAAACAATACATTAATAAATCATGAGCCCTAAGATTTCTTGAGAAAAGTCTGATCTCAGTACTCTTTCTTGAGCCTAGAGAAGGACTAAGCAAGTAAGCAGGAGGCAAGCTTGCCCTGTAAACAAACCAACACTTTGTGAGGGCCATCTCATACAGGAGCTAACTCCAGTAAAACAAAAAATCTTGAAATTGCTAACAATCTCCAAGACAACTACCTTTCTTTTTCAGATATCACCCATTTTCTCCCACTAAAGATTCCCCATAGCTTCTCTATAAACCTCAAGTTTGCAATGAAAATAGATATTTCCCCACATATTCCTAAAAATGCAGATATTTTCCGCAGTGCAATGAGCAAAAGGAAACAGGGCTGAATGCTTTGTCCTTATTCATTCTGAGTTCTCCACTTACAGGATTTATACTATATTTTCTGGAATAAGGTTATGAGGCCAAACTATGGACTACATTCTGCTGCAGGGTTGTTTCTTGAACTATTATCTAATGGCAACAGCTATATAAAGAATTATCTCACAGCAGAAGGGTTACAGGTGGAAGGATATAAACTAGGGAGTGCCATGGATGTATTTCTATTATCACTTGCATCAGAAGCCATGATTTGTGTTAGCATCAGATGATACTCTGAAGGATGATATTTCCAAAATCATTTGCAGCTTGCGTTTTCTGGTTGCCGCTCACACATGATCAAACTGCACTTCAGCTGTTTTGACCGCTCCAGTTACTTACTCCAGTTACTTACAGACAGTGAACCCAAGGATCACACAACCATCTATAGACAGGTATTTCTAAAATCCCTCTTCACTACTCCTGTATAGTAGGAAGGACCAGAAATCCTCCTGTATGCCCTGCAGAATAGCCCTACCACGAAAAGCACAGTCTTTAAACACCTCAAAGACAGCTTTCCCTTCTCAGATTGGATGCTTAGCACATCTTGGCTCTGCCTTGCGTGTATGCACATTAAGAATTGCTTTCCTACTGACAGGACAGAAAGTGGACACATTTCACTAGCGTTGTGGAGATAAAGCAGCCCAACTCTCAAACACCCATCAGCTCTGAGTGTAAGACACTGTTGTTACAACATCCAGCAGGCACTGATAGGGTTGTGCCGGAAAAATGACTGAAGCTCCATGGGAGCAGAAATTAAAAAAAAATGGACAAAAATTCAGAGGTGGTTGCCAACATCTACATTGACAGAGATGTGGTATTGGTTTAGTCCTTGTATTACTGCCCCTCCCCTCTTTGGATAATTTTGGATGTTGATATGTGGTAACAGATGGGTTTAAAAGTTGCTCTTGACAATTATTTATACCTCTAATAATAGTTCTGTCTTCCCTCACCCATCTCCAGCAGTCCCAGTCAGGCATGACTCCAAAAAACAACAATTAACAAAAATACCTCCTTTGCATCAATCATTTCCATTTCATTCCTGGATATGTAAATGTGTTCGATGTGCAATAAACAGGAGTATGAAACAAATGCAGGGAAATGAGAACAGAGTGTCTTAGTACAACATCCGCAGCTTCCCTTATGCAGACTGGGCGAGGAACTTTAGCCAGTCTGTTGCTGCTCCTCCTTGTGGCTACCTGACTTCGGCATCTGTTTTTGCTATCCTCATTAATTTGCTTCTAGTTTGTGCATTGCTCAGAGGATTGCCTTCTTGTGTTATCAGCTGAACGGTTTCTTTATCTGGAAGACAGCCTTTAACAGCAGCCCGATACAAATTTATTTTCCAAGGCACTAATAACTAAGAGTGCAGCCATCCTTGCCACATTCACAGTTTACAACCTTCTGTTTAACCTTCTGTTCGTGACTCTCCGTCACCCTTTTCACCTATCTGCAGTTGGAAGACCTTATGATTCTTCCACCTGAGCCTGGGCAATGTCCAGATGACATTGTTACCATGCTACACAGAGGACTGGGGGATACTGCGCAGCAGTTGTGGCACAGATTTTTCTTTCAGGGAAAAGGATGTCATGTCTCTAGAATAATGATATAAGTAAAAATACACAGGTCATGCACGTTTGTTTCAGTTGGAAAATTACAAAAATTATCTTAGGAACTTGTTTTGAAATGTTGACATTTATGGATTTAATATAGCAGCATTTCAGAGCACCCAGTGCCTGATACACAGTGTTCAATCACAATAGGAATGGCTGAGGAGTCAGCTCATAATAAAGACAAGAAGCAGTTCATAAAATCATGAAACTGGGTACGGTCTTCAGCCTCCCTTTTCTTCACTGTTCAGTAAAAGAGCAACAAGTCAGCTATATACTGAACATGCCTGAGTCACTCTGAACACAGACGGGCACTTGTTCTCGTCGGTGCATATGACCCCCTTGCATTGCCCGTGCTCGTGCTTACGTGGCTATGTTAAACTCCACAGCTACCCACTGTGGGAAATACTCAACAAAGAATTAAGTAATAACTTCTGTTACTCTGTTTGACAAAGCAAACTCATCACAGACTTACTGGCTTTGCTTCAATGGACTCCCATCATCGATTACTCAAATTGCTGTCACAGACAGCCTTAGTGCTGAACAGCGAGCTAAGAAGAATACACTGGCATGTCAGTGAGAAGAAATTTTACAACAAAATATTCCAAATTAATTAAAACTCATACAAATTATATCTATATCTATCTCTGAGTGCATGCGTTCATGTGTGTGCATAAAAATTTACAGTGGAATATGGCCATAATCTGCAGTTGTCAATGAAAGAAAAATCATAGTAAAAGCATAGTGTGTATTTGCCAATGTAGTGTGTATTTGCCAACCCTCTGAAATATTGTCTATATAAACACGTAGACATGTACAAACACTTTATATTGCATTTCAAACACCAGCTCACTAGTCATGGTGTTAGCTCCTCCTGAAAGGGAGCTTCATACAACTTCTCCAGATTAAACAATCTTCTTTTGAGCATAATGTAGTGAAATTAACAGGTTATTGAAGTCACCAGTATGGGACAGTTGATGTTTTGGACAGATGCTAAGCACCTTGATGGTCAGGGCAAGGACCTGATAATCCATGCAAGGGTCCAGACAAGCACTGGTGTGAAGCGTGGGCTGCACACTACTGTTTACACTAGAGTTAAAAAGCACTTGGGAAGTCATAAGGCTCTAATCCCACCAGCATAAAATCCATTCTCTTCATTAGCATTAGGCAAAGAAAACTATTAATTAATAGAATAGCTAAAATGAGCTTCTAGTTATAACCTAAGAACATGAGCTTCTTTCACATTATAAGGTATTTTAATAGAAATACTCTAATCTTACATTAATCCTTCAATAGTATTGCTCTGGTTTAGAAATTAATTTCAGAGGAGTAGACTCTGGTGGCAGAGGTGATCCCAAACCAGGGCACTTTGCCTCTTCTATCACCATGGAACAGATGTTCCAGCTGAGAGAGATTTGCTAAATACAGGAAGGATCACCACACATCGAGAACAAAAACATCCTGTAGGGTCTCCTGGGGCAGAAGGATGAATGACATCTTCTCTGTCACTTCCACTTTCGTGTGGAGCAGCCAGCAAGGAGAGCTCATGCAGCACTCGGAGGCTCAGGGCTGAGAAAAACCAAGTTATTCCTTCTTCTTTCAAAGCATGAGGCAGGACCTTACGTGCAGAGTGATGAGCTTCATAAAAGGAGAACAGCGTACTCATAGCAGCTGATGCAGAGATGGAGGAATATTTGAGGTGGAGAAAAAGAGTCACTGGAGAATATTTTGGAAGACACTAACAGACAGAAGAAAGGAGAACCAAAATGACTGAAAAAACCAGGTGCATCATAAAACCACCCACTTTCTGGTTCTTCCTGGTAGCACAGAAAATAAAAGCCTCGGTCAAGTTTATGATCCAAGTTGAGACAAGAAGTTAGCAGCTTTAATCCTGGGAGTGAGTGTGCTCCTGAGGGAAGGATCTGCAT